TTGTAATACTATAAATGTAATATTTGTTGTCTGTCACTGTAGCTGGGATAATTTTACTTATTAAAGCTGCTGTTTAAATTTTAAGCCCTGAAGCTGCTGGTAGACATCGCGGTTGGAATTATCAAAGGTTTTTGACACCTGAGAGACACCGTAGCAACTCCTTTGCGTTTGGAAGCGGGGGGGACGGACCAGGGAGGATGATTCAACCACTCAACCACTAGATGTTGCTGAAAACAACAAATCCTACACTCTGAGCCTTAATCCTCCTTTCAATTTGATGGCTCACATATTTAATTAACAACAAGACCAACTGGATATGTCACAATAATTTTGTAATATTTTTACTGTAAGTGAATGTAATTGCTTATTAATAATCATGTAAAGCACGAGATATATACAAGATAAATAAAGAATTTATAAGTAACATTAATTTAAAATGATCTAAACCAGACTCAAAGTCACCCCATAACAGACCTTTTTACTGAAAAATTATGATTTCAACTAATAAAGCATATTTATTATTTATTACTGTTGTAAATATCAGTAAATATTTAAAGAGGCAATYTCATGTAAAATCTACTCTTTTGAGTTTTACATCATGCTTAAATGTTATCCTCTCATCAAAAACATGCCCAGAGTCTTGCTTTGACTCATTCATGCATGTTTGAGAAATCCTGTAGTCAGGGGCGGTTCTAGGGGCGGGGCCACAGGGGCACTGGCCCCATCTGAAATCTGATTGGCCCCCTGAAGTGCCCCTGTCCTGTCACTCATCTGTCCTTTGCCCAAGTGTGGTTGCAGTTCCACTACCAAACAGCAGTGGCACTAATGAGTCAATCTTCTTTAATTTGAATAATCCTGCAGAAAAAGTATTTTAACTGACAACGATGGCTGGATTTTCTCACATCTTGTGTGTTTGAGAGTATTTTATTTATGTACAGTAAAAATGTACATAAAATTGATACGGAGAATTTGCCGTTCAAGTTTTTACAAGTGTCTGAACACGTTTGACTGATTAAATTCATACACTTTACTAAAACTGGGGATTTGTGTGCAACCATGTTGAACAAATACTTGGCCCCTCTATGAATACTGTGGCCCCTTTATGGCCCCGTATGCTGAAAAATCCTAGATCCGCCACTGCCTGTAGTGTCCTGAGGCAGCCAGGTAGAGGAGCAAAAACCACTGGTTGGAACTAGAACCTTCTGTTAGGATTAGCTCCTCCTCTGGGCTGTGTCTCCTGACTGAGCTTCCTCATCACAGAGCACACACACCTGCCCCGTGCTGAAATGGGCGGGACAGAAGTGGAAGGAGGTTCTTAAAGAGAAAGAGGCCAATTTCAAGGTGTTTAGAAACAGATAAGATGAGAAGTCAAATTTATTTTCTATTTAAACATAAAAACAACATTTTATTAACAACTGTTAATAACAACAGAAGGTGACATAAGCTGCGTTTCCATTGACCATGAAAATGCGCAAATTAGAATTTCGAAAATAAACTTGCTCAATGGAAAGACGTCAATTTAAAAATATATACTTTTTTCGACAAAATGTTTTTGCGCTAGGATGAGGTGGTTTTTCAGCCGTATCAAAATTGGTGTTTTTCGCAAAACTGCAATGGAAACACTTTTTTAGCATCACTGGAGCCATGTGATCAACAACCGGCTGTTTCTACTGGTAAAAAAGACGATGATGAAGAAGATAACAGGAAGTAGAAGTAGTAGTAATATCACAGAAGTAGTATAAAATAGTAAACTCACCGACTACAATTTCCCAAAAACACAGCATACGTAGCCGCTCCCAAGTAGGGACTTGTCTCTGGAAAGCCTCGATAAAAGACGCCGACGTCTCCTCTGATGATGAGCGCTAGTGTCGTGGTAGCAACATGCTATGTGTTTACATCCATCGCCGCCATGTTTGTAATGACTTATCATGAGAACAAACGTATTCACGCGTGACTTTAATAGCATTTCTTACTTAATGGAAACACCACAGTTGCGAAACTGTTTTTCAGCATTAACAGAATATCAACAAAGTTTTGTGCACATTTGCAGTGGAAACACAGCTATAGATAATTTAAAATTGTATAGAATTTAAATATATGCCTGAGAAACACAAAATATTGCCCCTTTAACAGTCAACATTGGTTATAGGATGAAACTAATATTAGCTTAACATCATCTCAACAGGTCAGGTTAGTCTAACAAACCTAAAAATATTTAAATATGCTGTTATTTTAGCTTCAGTTCTGGTCAGATAAAATTCACATCAAAGTAAATCAGATAAAACCTGCTTGCTTGTGAAATAAGACATTTCTCTTCTGTTGGTACATCCATAACACCCACAACTTTCTGATATTTTTATGTAAATTCAATAGTAAATAAGTTAATGCTTTCGTTAATATTATTATCTTTATMATTTCTACATCATCAGTTCTTTTTTTCCACTATGTTGCCAACATGAACAATGATGGTTGTAAGGGTAAAATACTTTTTGTTGCATCTCAGTAATCCAGGTAGAAAGAAATCAAAAAGAAAAAATCAGTAGGTCCTCTGGATGGGTTCTTCTTTAGTGAAACGTTTCATCTCTCCTCCAAGAGACTTCTTCAGTCTGATGAGTTTCAGGTGAACTCAGCCTTATAAGCTCCGCCTCCACATGGTGGACAAACAGGTTAGTCACATGCAAAATAGGGCCATCGCCTAACAATAGGCTTGGTTGGCTCTATTGTTCATAGAGGGTCATGTGCCTCATCACCTGACCCGTGTCGTGTTATGTGTATGTAGTGAATGCAAGTCGGGGTTCAATGGGCCTCATGCAAGAACATGTTCGTATTCTTATCCTAAATTTCTCTTACTTTTGTTCGTACAAAGGG